ACTAGACCCTATAGCAGGGATTGGAGGGAAAAGCTGGAGAGAGTGGAAGAAAAGGTGTCATTGTCCACCATGAAATGTACTCAGTACGTGACTTAGGAGACGGTAACACCTCTGTTCATCACCTTTATAATTACAATAAAAATTCTAAAAAAAGAAGTGGGGAATGGAATGCGATTAAGCGAAGTGAGACACTTCCCAGCAGGCTCTTGAGAAGCACCTTTTCAAGGTTAATCTCAGAATCAAGTTAACCTTGAAACTTAAAAACAAGAGTGAAGATTGGCAACGTGTACAACAAGTCCTTAAATGCTTCATGTAGACTATTATTCTTTCTGAGCGTTGTCCCCATAGGTGGAAATTCTTCTCCTGGGGATGGGCCATGAAGCACAGATTTGTTCAGACTGGTAGTTTGGGCAACAGACAATGAGACTCACTCACTTCTCTTGTCTGGAGTAGGGACTGACCCGTAGAGCTTCATTCAACAACAAAATGCAGGGCTGTCCCAGTAGATGGCAGGCATTGTGCTGTGGGCTAAGGATTCAGGAGCTAAAGCAAGATTCTTGCCCTCACTAACTTGCATTCTGGTGAAGAGGCAACTTTAGCAACGCATAGGCCAACAGTGAAAGAAATCCTGAGGTATCCTAGACAAGGCATTGAGGATAATGTCTCATATATCACAAGTGCTCAGGAAATGGTGGCCTTTAGTATAGTTTTTATTACTCAAGTTATGATTTGCTGCCCAGATGATCCCTTTAAAAATCTTTGTTCAGAACTTCCTGGTGACATGTCATGACTTGAAAGCCATATGTGAACTGGCCTTGCACCAACTCTTCGGCTTTACCTCTATTTAATCTCTTCTTTATTTATTCTGCTCTGTCTGAAATACCCTCCTAAGCTCTCTGATAATTATGTTCCTGCTTATGACTTCTGGAGCACCTATCTGGTGTTGACAGTGTTTGATTACCTGTATGATTTTTCTTTTTCATGACTAGAAGCTACTCAGGTTTTTATATTATTCTTTCTTCTTGCAAGGGACTCTATTTGTTTCTACCAGCACGTACCCTCCACAGCCCAGCCACACGTCTACAGGCTGAGTGCATTTCATTCAAGAGACCTGGTCCAAAAAAATTAAAAAAGCACACCCAAATTTGCATTATTCACAACCTGCCTAATTAAAGACTTGCCCCAACAAATCATGGGGAATGCTTCTGCTCAGCAGTTAAATAATTTAACTTGTTAAATTATTTAAAAGTCCCTATGTGGCAGTAGCATAAATACACTCTGAAACTATATCATTCTTAACTCTTAAAAATTTATGGTAGTTTCCCTTTCCACTTCACATATCAGTCAGGACTGCACTTGTATTTGTACAATTAAGTGCGATTTCAGATTCACTGCAAACTTGCACAAATGGGATACTAGTACCCGTGCTCGCTCTACATGGGTGGGTTTCTTGGCCAGTAGAAGCAGAATGATCTTAAAGGGCATTGCTTAAAGCAACTCGGTATTTACCCAACGTCTGTTGGGATAGGCATTTAGTTCCACAAGCGTATGTTGGGATGTATCTATGTCTAAATCATTTGTCTTTATCCCTATCATTTCTATATAATCCCTATCAGTTATATCTACATGGATATTGGCCTCGGGTGAAACGTCCGTTTTGGTACTGGAGTTTGAACTCACAGACCTGAGCCTGCTTGGCTGGTGCTTTACCACTTGAGCCATGCTTTGCTTGTTATGTTGGAGATGGAGTCTCGTGAACTTTTTTGCCTGGGGCTGGACTTGAATCGTAATCCTTCTGCTCTCAACCTCCCAAGTAGCTAGCATTACAGCATGAACCACTGTTAGCCAGTTGTACACTAAATCTGGAGCACTCTAAATCTTCTAACGCCCTTCCCTGTTCTAAAGGCACTCATATTCCTGAGCCCTCCTAAATGCCTGTTCATTTAACACATGGTACCTGGGCCTTGTTCTCAAAAGTAGTATTTCATCTCATATATGTGTGTGTGTGTGTGTGTGTGTGTGTATCTATGTATATATATATATATGTATTACCTTATAAATTCATTGCCAATTTCAGTGCCAGTACCGGGGCTTGAATTCAAGCCCTGGATCCTGTCCCTTTGCTTTTCACTCAAGTCTGGCACTCTACCACTTGAGCCACACTTCCAGGTTGTTTGGTGGTTAATTGGAGATAAGAGTCTCAGACTTTCCTGGCTGAGCTGGTTTCAAACTAAGATCCTCAGATCTCAGCCTCCTGAGTAGCTAGGATTACAGACGTGGACCCCTGGTACCTGGCTGTACTCCAGCTATTTGTACCACATCCATGTCTAGGTCAAGATGACTCTGTAATGCCCTGGCTGTGGGACTGAACCTTCTGTGCCTCCATTTCCTCCCCTGCAACCTGAATAGAATAAAATTACCTGCACCTCTCCCTACCCTTCAGTGGCTGGGTAGGGAGTCTGGCTGACATCATGTGCTTACACATTTGAGGCTCGTCCACTGATAGTGATGCCTATGAACTCCTCTGGCCTCTTAAGAGGCCCCAGCCTTTTCTCTAGGTTCCTGGAGTACACAAAGGTTCTCTGACGCCAACAGGGGTTGGCTCCCAAGCCTTGTGCTTTCTCCAGGCCCCTGACCCTGCACAGAGGCCAGTGCCAGGACGACTGCTCATCTTTGCAAGTCGGTGTCAGCGTTAGCGCCAGCACTCTGTCGCAGTCACTTACTACCTGCAGGGCCTCGTGTGAAACACTCTGTCTTGGCAACGGCCCCAGCAGCATAAGAGGAGAGTAGGATCCGAACCCGACTTCTGGGCTAAAGACATGCTCAAGTGATACAGTGCCTGCCCAGAAAGTACCAGGCTAAAAACAAACGAACTCTAAACTTTTCACACGAGGAAGTGGCGGCTGCAGCCAGTTCTGCATGCTTTTCCTGAGCTTGTAAGCAGCCAAAAGGCAGGCAAGCAGCCTGATTCTTTTTGTTTTTGTCAGTACTGGGACTTGAACTCAGAGCCTGGGCACTATCCTTTTTGCTCAAGGCTAGCACTCTTCCATTTGAGTCACAGCACCACTTCCGGCTTTTTTCGCCATACTGAGGAATCAAACCCAGGGCTTTATGCATGCTAGGAAAACACTCTACCACTGAACCACAACAGCCCCATTCTTAACCAAGATGCCCAGCAGCCTGGCATTAGGGGCAAACTCTTTGTCTATTGTTATGCTACACATAGTGTCAGTTATAGAAAGAGCCCTCAAGTCAGCATTGAAACAGCTCCACTAAGCACCACACAGACACTAACCCATTCCATAAGCCCATTCCACAGACCTGGAGTCTGAGCAGAGAGGCAGGCTGGCCAGGCAGGAACACAGAATCAGGCTCAAGCGCAGGCCTCTCACCATTGAACACAAAGCAGATGGTTTCTTGTAAGCTTTGGCTTTATAAATTCACTGCCAGTTCCAAAACAACCTTCTTAATATGGATGGTGTGCTAGCCAGGATCTGGTGGGAGGAGGGAATCCTTACCAAAGTTAGGATAATAAAATATGTTTATTGAAATTGACCAGAAGGACAAAGAAGTTCAACTAGTCATTTGTAAAGAGTAAAGGAAGGGTTTGGACACGCTGGGTCCAGCCTTCTTGTAAGGTGGGACCCAAGGCATCTATCTGTGAGTCTCATCTAAATCCTATGGGGACAGGGATTCCTTGCATCAAATCATTACCTACAAGACAAGACAAGACAAGGTGGGAGGATTTCTTAACTTTTACTCCTTTCTAAGATCACAAGGCTTCTGTAGAGTTCATGTGGTCTCTGCTCAGTTTCCTTCTCTTGCCTCCATTGTGCCGGGCTATTCCCAAGAACTTTCCTAAGATGGGAAGATCCAAGATTTCACAAAACTGTTCAAAGTGCTGCTTTTCAAAACGTCTGTGAGGTCGTTCTATAGTTATGATCGAAACATTGCTTCCTTGCTCTTGTTCCTTTATCTGCCACCCTGGCTTTCTGCACATAACGCCATGTTTTGAAGGTTCATTCATGTTGTTAGTATCACTATTTCATTTATCTTTATTGATCAGTAATTCATCTTGTATGGCTAGAACACATTTTGTATATATAATCTGCAGTTGATGGACATTTGGTTAATTTCTTTTATTTTCTCCCTTCCTTCTTTTCTCTTTCTTTCTCCCTCCCTCCTCCCTTCCTCCTTCTTTCCTCCTCCCTCTTCCCTCTGCCTGCCTGTCTTCCTTCCTTCCTTCCCTCTCTCCCTCCCTCCCTCCCTCTTTCTCTCTCTCTCTCTCCCTTCCTTCCTTCCTTCCTTCCTTCCTTCCTTCCTTCCTTCCTTCCTTCCTTCCTTCCTTCCTTCCTTCCTCCCTCCCTCCCTCCCTCCCTCCCTCCCTCTCTCTCTCTTTCCTTCCTTTCTTTCTTTCTTTCTTTCTTTCTTTCTTTCTTTCTTTCTTTCTTTCTTTCTTTCTTTCTTTCTTTCTTTCTTTCTTTCTTTCTTTCTTTCTTTCTTTCTTTCTTTCTTTCTTCCGCCAGTCTTGAGGCTTGAACTAAGGGCCTTACCTTTTTCACTCAAGGCTGGTACTCAGCCACTTGAGCCACACTTGCAGCTTTTTTGGATGGTTAATTGAAGAGAAAAATCTCACTGGTGTTGCCTGCCCAGGCTGCCTTTGAACTGCGAGCCTCAGACCTCAGCCTCCTGAGAAGCTAGGATTATAAGCATGAGCAACCACTACCCAGCTTCAGCATGGCTATTAGAAAAACAAATTGTATAAGACAAACAAGTAGTTTCATAGAGCATAGGTGGAAAATGTTACGCTGTGGTGTTGATGGTTTTTCTCTACGCTCTCTAGGTGCCACCCACCCTTGGATTGGATCAGCAATCTCCCTCGGCTCTGCTCTTCTCACTCATGCCTTCTGACCACCCTCATCACCCACCCAATTCTATCCCATTCGCCTTTCTTTACATAGAGAAAGTTGTCAGTCTCGGCTTCTCTTGGCCTTTTGCAGGCTCTGACACGGGGTTTGGCCATGGTTTGGCCAAGCATCTGGACAAGCTGGGCTTCACAGTATTCGCTGGAGTTCTGGATAAGAAGAGTGCCGGAGCCAAAGAATTGCAAAAATCCTGCTCTTCGCGTCTCTCTGTGCTGCAGATGGACATCACCAAGCCAGAGCAGATAAAAGATGCTTACAGCAAAGTCGTGGAAAAGATTCAGGACAAAGGTACTGCCTTGGTTACCTGTGCCCTCGAGAGCCTTTCTCCCTGTTTACCAGTGCTGGACTCTAAGTCTGGGCTCTCTGGCGGCCATCCTGTCTCCATGCACCAGCAGCTACCAGAGCTGAGCCCCAAGCACAGGCAAGCGCTCTGCAGACAAAAGCGGCTCTGTGCTTCTGAACCTTGCAGAGTGCCCTGCCCCATTCTCTGGGTGTCATCCCCATGAATTATTCTCCCATGAATCTCATCCTTGCTGGCTTCCTCCAGCAATACCCACACACATTAGACCTTCCCAGATTAGGAATGAAATAGGTTTATAATTATGGGCCTCCATTACCCACCGTCCTTTCTCTTTCCCTTCCCTAGTGGCCATGCTTTCTGAGACCATGTCAGCCTCGGTGTCTTACCTCTTTATAAGTCAAATAGATGCTGGCTCTAGCCATGCCTTCCTAACTGGCCTGGCAAAGTTGTCAGCATTCACCCGAAGACTAAGACTTCACCTTTCCATGGTAAACTCACACTCTACTCGTTGGCTTTGGGATCTCCAGATTTCCTGTTTTCTCCTCCTAGCTCACTGATCATTCTCTGTAGTTCCAGGATAGGCCTCTTTCTTTATCCTTTATCCATAGGTAAACCAACAAATCACAGCTCCTGTACCAGGGCCAGCCACTGGCCTGTGCTCCCACACAGCATACTATTCACATATTTTTTATTAACCAATATTAATTATTATTAAACTATTTTATCTAGCCCTATAGGTACAATGGACTTATTGGCAAGCTAAGAATCCTCTCGCAGGTGAGCCTGTACAAAGCACAATTGCACAGTGGCAATAAGTTCTGCTCCACAGTACAGTGGAATGCAATATTTCACAACCACATATTGCATATTGAATAACAATCGAGAAGAAAAGAGTTCCACATATCAAGACATGAAAAGTATGTGATCGGGGTCTGTCACCTGTTTTCTTGTGGTCTGTGAGCATGAATGGTTTTTTCTTTTTTTACACTTTTGAACAGTTCAAAAGAAACCAGAAGAGGAATAGTTCTGACAGGTGAAATCTGCATAGCACTTAAATGCCAACGTAAGCAGGATTTCCCCAGAAGCCCCCCCCTCCCCCGCCCTGTTCACTGGCTGTCCTGGCTCATGCTATGAGCTCACAGAGTTTGCAAAGCTAAATATTGATCAGGTGACCTTTTTTTCTGATAACCCCCAGGATGTTCTCAAGCTGTACAGTTTCCACCAGAGGCTCTTGTTCTTGGGGACTGGGGGCTGGTGGGGGTTGACCTAGAGTAGAGATCAGTGACCTAGGTGAAGCAGAAGGAATAGGACTTTTTTCTAGTTTATGGATAAAGGAGGACCCAGATCATTCCACATTATTGTAAACATGGGGGTAAGGTCCTTACACACTCTTTTGTGAGAAAACAGGAGGAAGCATTTGAAACTTCAATGCCAGACACAGACTTCTTACTACCTTCTATGTGCTGCACCATCCTTTCCCACAGACCACAAAGACCCTACTTCCCTGATGGAGGTGAGGGCTGAGAGCTGTTCCTTTTGGTCCCTAGGGCTGTGGGCTGTCATCAACAATGCTGGAATCATCGGCTTCCCTATAGACGGCGAGCTCATTCCCATGAACGATTACAAAAGATGCATGGCTGTGAACTTCTTTGGATCTGTGGAAGTCACGAAGACATTTTTGCCTCTGCTTAGGAAATCCAAGGGCAGGCTGGTGGCTATCAGCAGTATGGGAGGTGAGTCACCATTGTCGCACATGGTTGGTTGGTGAGTCATGGGGTGACAGTCACAAGATTAGGTGCTTACGTTCTTGGTGGGCTGGACAGGAAAGCTAGGCATGCAAAGGCAGGGCTGGGTCACTCTTGGCTTGCGTCTCCTCTATGGCCCTTACAAATCTTTTCATACATAAACTCTTATCTGCTGTCTAAATGCATGTTTTCAAAGCTCTCTGAACCCTGCTCTTTGCTCTTTACCCTAAGCAAGGCAGGCAAATATCACCCTCTGTTTACACTGCGGAAACCCCATGAGTCCTTCTCAGTTGTGTTACCTGGAGGATCGTTCCCTGTGATAGGCAACCTCAGTACCACAGGTCAGGATGTAATATTTGCTGACTTACGTTGCCCTACTTCAAAAGAACAAATAGTCAGACAACAATTCAAGTAAACAATGCCCGTGCATTGGATATCTTCTTGAGCTCTGGGGAACAAACAGTTCTGGGGTTGATGTGCTAGTGGCTTGGGAGGAAACATGATCCGAGAGTTCACTGCTGCTATTTTTTCTGGGTTTGAAGCAGGGAACATGGAGGGAGACTCAGGATAATGAATATCTGTTCTCTGAAAGGAGCCCTGCTGCCCTGGCCCATCAGATTAGCTTGAATCTGGTCTCTCTGTCACCTAATGAGCTGGAATGATTAACCCTGTTTGGATTATTTGAGCCTGCAGAGCCACAAATAACCCCATAGAGACAATTGCAGGCTGCTGTTACATGGGTAGCTGGTCTGTTAGGCAGAGAAAAATCCCTCCAAGTGCGTTCTCATCTGAATCCCTGGAATTTTCAAATACCTGAAATTATGTCATGATACTACATAGAGATGAGGGGTTTTGAGATGGAGATACTAGCCTGGATTATGTAGATGAATCTGACATAGTCACAAAGGTCCTCATAGGAAGCAGGAAAGTCAGAGTCAGACAGTAATCAGCACATTCTACCCAGCTTGGCTTTGAAAATGGATGAAGTGGCCACGAGCCATGGCATGCAGACAGCTTCTAGCAGAGGGAAAAGTGGAGGGAAATAATTTTTCCGTAGAGCCTTCAGGAAGAACCTGTCTTGCTGACATCTTAAGGATAGTACATGGGGACTTACTGACCTCTAGCAGGAAAAGATAATAAGGTTACTTTTCTAAGTTGTTGGCAATTTTTTTTATGACATCAATAAGGAGGTACTATAAGTAGTTTGACCTGGATAGTTTAGGCCCACTTCAGTTTCTTTTCAAATAAGGAGTACTTCTCCTTTATTGGTCAATCAAAGCTCACTCAGCTTCTTGGTAGTTTTAACTTTAACTTAGATGTTGGTTAGCCCAATGAGCTCCCTTCCCACAGCTTACCATGCTCCTTCCCCTCTCCACAGCTTGGCACGCTACCTTCCTACCTTCCTAGACAACACCAGGACCCTGTAACAAAGGAAGTAAATAATCAGCCACCAATCCCCTTTACCTTGGGATGGCGCTCCTCGGGGGGCAGCTACCACCCTAAGAGGTGGTAAGAGCCCCTTAAAGTGACCTCCAGGCCAGGGCAGCTGCAGGACCCTTATCTACAACTTGGGCAGCAGCCATAAATCCTCATCCGCCATGATGAAGCCCCTGGTTCACACGTCTATACGGGGGTCTCCATCTCCATCTCCCCTTCTGCCCTTCCTAACCTTCCCAGGTTATATAGATCACCGCAGACAATAGCCAGCACTTCTTTTCCCTTCTCTCCTGTGAGAAGGGGTCTTCTGGCCTCTTTACTGGCAATAAACCTTTCTCTGTACCTGGATGTCTGCATGGTTTTCTGGCAAAGTCTAATTTAGTCTAACAACATTCTTTTTTTTTAAAATTTTTTAATTGTTTTTGTTTTATTGTTTTTTTTTTATTATTTTTACAATTACATGGGCAAGATAATGAGTGCATTTCTTATCAAGCATTGCAGCCTCCTCCTTTGTTTCCCCTTCCCATCCCTTCCCATCCCATCCTCCTCCCACCCCTCACCCCTCCCACCAAAGTTGTAAAGTTTGTTTTCGACATAACGACTTGTACATCTCTTTGTTGCAATGGGTCCACCTGTATCCCTATTTAAACGATTTGTTTTTCCCCTTCCCCTCCACAAATTATAACAACATCAAATACAGTGAAAGCAGGGGTTATACTGTGGGGGAGGGATATACAAAGCAACAAAGAAATCATCTTATAAATGTGTCTAACAACATTCTTAACAAGACTTGGGTTCTTAAAACAACAATAAACGCTCCTTTTGTCATCTCAGTCTGGCTCTCTTTAGGCCAATATTTATCTGTAATTTACATCATATCCAATGCTTCTAATTGTCTATTCTAAATGCTTTCCTTTTCCCCAAATTTAAAGTCTGTTCCAGTTCAGCCTGATGGTATATTCCTGTAACCCCAGCTACTTAGAAGAAATAGGAGGATTGCAGACTGAAGATTGTTCTGGACAAAAAAAATAACTAAAGCAAAAAGAAAAAGACATAGAAAAAGAAAAAAGAGAGAGAGAAAGGCTGGGGGGCAGAGCACCTATTTAGCAAGTTCCAAGTTCAATAACCATTAATCAATCAATCAATTCTGCTCCTCCCACTTTCACATAACCAGGTCTCCATGGACATTTTCTCCTCATTCTAATTTACACCATAGTGAGTTAACAGTTAGCATTTTGTTACATCTCCCAAAGGCAAAGCAATTCAGAAAATAGCTTTTATTAGACCTCAAGGATAGATTGAGAGGAAGGCTAAATTTCATACCACAAAACATATTGTAATGCACATCCCATTTGGTTACGTCTCTGCTTGGAAACATCTTTAGCTTCTAGCCCCTCATCTTGGAGGTTACCTTCATTTCTCTGCCTTTTCTTGTTCCCAAGTCTTGACTGTCTTTCTCCCTTTCCTTTTCTGCTAAATCCAGAAGGTTCATCTCTCATTTTCCTTCTCTCAGGTGCTCAGTAAGCCAAACAAAAGTGAGCAAATACACACTGTAAGGAGAGGATTATTATTATAGTCTGTATTCACTTCCTGTCTGGAATTCTCACAAGCAGACTGAAGCCATCAACGTCTCTAACTTCTGTTTCTCTCTTTGTCACTCATTCTCTTCATCTTTTCCTTCCTGCAGCTCCTTGCTACTCCCTGGGTCTCTCCTTCTATCCCAGGGTCCTGGTTCAAGAATAGCTCATAATCACTTCCTCTGGGAGTCAGTATGTTGGAGCACCCTACTTGCTAGATGGGGGACAGTCCAACTAGCAACTTGGCTAGGGCTTAAGTGGCTACTCTAAGCCTGCATTTTCTCCCCATAAGTGGGTGAAGTAATGGCGCTGACCACACAGAGAGGTCCTGAGGAGCAAGTGAAATAATCTATATGAAGTTCTCAGCATTGTTGCTCTTGTGCAGGGGGCAGATAATGACGATGGAATATTCCCTGTAGATTTTTCCATGTGCACTCTGTGAGATGTGTCTCCTAAACTACTAAATTTACCATGTCTCCTCTCCCACACACAGGTTAGCGCTTTATAGACACTTCCAGCAAGCTAGTTCCATAAATATTTAACTACAGATCTAAAGAATTTAGGGGCAACTCTTTGCACAAAGGGCAGGTGGAAAATCCTCTTGTTTGTGAGATCTGAGAACTTTTTCTGGCCAGTTTTTCTCTTAGGAAATCACCTAGTAAATTGCGAATATATAGTCATGCCTAGTGCTTGTATGTGAACAGTTGAGAATAAACCCTTCTGAAATGACTCAAGCCTCAGGGACTTGGAGTTGATTGCGATTTGAATCTTGCCTTTTGACACGTCAAACGGCAGGAGATAGGGTAAAAATCAGGACAGCATGCATTAAGTGCAAAGGTACTGAGATTAGCAATTCTCAGTCTCTGCCCTCCACATTTTGGGGAGGGGTGATTCCTTTGGTGGGTGGCTGTTGTACCATACTTTGGTAACAAGGTCCCAGGCTTTGCTTTTTTTAAAAATTTCATCTTAAAGCTTAATTTATTCTTATGTTGTTTCTTTAAGTTGAGTACCGATGGCTCACATCTGTAATCTAACTACTCAGGAAGCTGAGAGCTGGGGATTGTGGCTCAAAGCCAGCCCCAGTTGGGAAAGTCCATGAGACTTTTATCTCTACTTGACCAGCAAAAAGCCAGAAGGGGGAGCTGTGGCTTAACTGGTAAAGTGCCAGTTTTGAGGGGAAAAAAAATAAAGGTATTGTACCTAGGCACTGAATCCAAGTCCTAGGACCCGCACACAAAACCTTTATTGTTGTATATTAATTGTATAAAAAGGTTTCATTGTAATATAACTATACATACATGTAATATGCTTTGAGTCTAATAAACAAAAAGCTTGTCACAGTCTGTGAGATTGTCAGGTTACAAGGAAGCCATCAGGTATTCTTTCAAGCTTCTGCTAATGGAAACCTGTCTTTCCTGGAGTCATGGGTTGATTTGTATTTATTAGCATGGAAAGTGGAATAAAGGAGTGAATTTTGACTCCAGCTGAGTTTGGTGTAGGCAGAAGCTGGCTGAGAGCAAAGCTAGTAGCTACAGACAAAGCTGCAGTAGGCATGGGGCCTTGGTACCTCCTTTGCTGAAAGGCTGCAATCTTCTGCCCTCTGCTGTGTAATTTCTGCATAACTAGACCTTATTTTCTGGTGTTGATAATTATGGCCGACAACTTGTGTCATCTCAGAGGACATGAAGACATTGGGGGAAAAGACAAGTGATCCACAAAGTGAATGCTGGAGGGGCTGGGAAGATGGCTCAGTGGTAGAGTGCTTGCCTTGCATGCATGAGGCCCTTGGTTTGATTCCTCAGCACCACATAAGCAAAAAAAAAAAAAAAGCCGGAAGTGGCGCTGTGTCTCAAGTGGTAGAGCGCTAGCCTTGAGCTGAAGAGCTGAGGGACAGTGCCCAGGCCCAGAGTTCAGGCCCCATGATCGAACCACCTCCCCCCTACCCCCACCCAAAAAAAAGTGAATGCTGGATTTGTCGCCGGCCAGGTAGAGAACAAAGCCATGGAGAGGTTCACAGAGGCAGAAAAGCTTGCAGGGGAAGGGTGTATTCATGGTACCTACATTAAGTCAGAATAAGAAGGTTACTGTCTAGGTCCAGGAGCGGTGGAGTGAGCGTGTAGTTCTGCAGATGGTTGGTTAAAACATGTCCTGTTGGTGACTGGGTAGATTCGTCTCAAGTTGTTATAACAAAACGCCACAGACTGAATGGCTTAAACACTGGAAACTTATGTTCTAAGAGTTCTGGAGACTGGAAGTCAGAGGTCAGGGTGCTAGCCTGGCCAGGCTCTGCCTTGCATATGGCCCCTCTTTTCTCTGTCCTTACATGGTGGAGGGAGGGAGGAAGCCGTCTGGTGTCTCTTCTTAAAAAGACTCTAATCTGTCTGGAGGGCTCCATCTTTACTACTTATTTGTGTCCTGAAGGCCCCATTTCTAAATACCATCACATGGAGGGGTGGGCTATCCACGTATGGATTTTTGAGGAATGCTATTCAGGTAATAGTTCTCCCACATTACAGCTTACCTTTGATATGTTTCTCTCACTAGGGATTAGTTTGCTTATTATAGAATTTTACCTAAATATAAGCATGGCATAGAATAACTATTCATTTTTGTTTGCTTTTCTACTTCAACAGTAATTACTTTTAGACATCTATGTGGCTATATACAACAAATTCAATCCTTTTGATGGCTGAGTTGTGTTCCATTATATAGCTGTACATCTGTCCATTCACCCAGTAAATGCTTCGTTGACCAGGGAAAGTTTTGGCAAGATATGGAGCTATACTATTTTGGGTCCAATGGAAATTTGTTTCTTTAGTTAGGAAGGCCAGAAATCTGACTCAAGGTATTAGCAAAGCTGCTTTCTTTCTGAAGTCTCTGGCAGAAAACTTGTCCTTGACATTTGCTTTCCATAGTGGTTGTAGATCATCCTGGGAGTTAGAATCCATCCTCTAGGATGCTCTTGGGTTTTTTTGGGGGTCAGTCTTGGGGCTTGAACTCAGGGCTTGGGCACTGTCCTTGAACTTTTTTGCTCAAGGCTAGTGCTCCATTTCAGGTTTCTGGTGGTTCACTGGAGATTAGAGTCTCACAGACTTTCCTGCCCAGGTTGGCTTTGAACCAGGATCCTCAGATCTAAGCCTCCTGAGTAGCTAGGATGGCAGGTGTGAGCCCCTGGCTCTGGGCTAGGATGCTCCACTAAGATCATCTCATCCTGATTACATCTTCATGAACGCTTATTCCAAACAAATCACTTCCCACTTTCTGGATTCCTTTGGTGCTATCTTTTAGACCTCTTTCCTTACAATGGATCTAATGACAAACCAGATTTTCAAATTCCAGACTCCCTAAGTTAAATGTGATGAAGGTGAGACAATGGCTATCTGTCAGATGACTGGGATCTTTCTCATACCTTTCCGAGTTGGTCCCCATGTGCGTACTCTTCCTCATTGCAACAGGTAGGTATTAGCTGAGTTTATTCACTATTTCTGTGGTGGATTGAGTAGTGGATTCCTCAAAAGATACATGATCAGAATCCTCAGAATGAAGGTTGGTTACCCTGGAAAGACAAGTGGTTGAGGCTGGTGATCCTACCACCTAAGTCACATTCCATTTAGAAGTTGTGGGGGGAGTGAGCTTTCTACTGGGCTATTGATTATGGCAGCTACAATGGAGTTGCTAAGAAAGATGGAGGCCAACAAAGCCACATAGACAGGGGTAAGAATATCTGCTCTCCTGATTACAGGTGGATGAAAATACCACCTATGATTCTTTTTCTCTCCCATGTTCCCATAGGATCAGTCCCACTGATGAAGATGGCGGCCTACAATTCAACGAAGGCTGCCCTGACTATGTTTTCATCTATTCTGAGACAAGAACTTTCCAAGTGGGGAGTAAAAGTCATCATTATCCAACCTGGAGGCTTCCGAACAAGTAGGTGTCCTAGCCTAAAAGCCCCTCAAAGTTCATCTGGGAAGGAACCCCCAAAGCCTTCTTGGTCTAAGAGAGAGCATGAGTTGAACCCTTCCGTGTTGTCCAAGAGGAACATAGCAAGACACTAAAGGAGTGAACACAGTAGTAGCCATCCAGAGCCGGATTCCACTCTGATTGGTACAGAGGTGACTTGAGTGGGGTTCAACAGAGCCAGACAAGTCAGAGAGCAAAGGGTTGGTTAGCATGAATGGGAAGAAGTTAGGGTCTCACCCTCCCACAGAGGCTGGGAGACAGAAAAACCTTCTTCTTGGGATGATTCTATTTTAAAGCAATGGCTCTCTGGACCTTCAGGGAATGATTTAGAGTTGCAAGAGGGCTTGACGCCAGATCCCCATGTATGGTGCCTGGCTTCCTTCAATCCTGCCAGGGGCACCGTATTCACAGTTGGTTGATGAACTCCTAGGAAGCAAGAGACCAGAAAGTAGAGAATGGGAGACCCAAGCATGGAGCAACACACCTCATGTTTGTATTTAACTAAAGGTAGAGGCAAGAAAAGTCATCCATGGGGTGACAGACAAAGAGATTCTGGGACATTCAAACAGTGCCCCACAATAAAAATAGCACACACATTGCATGCTTAGCAGATATAATCTCCCCTGCTTTGTCTCACTTAATTCTCCTCACCTGTGCTATAGACCTCAGTCTCCCCCTCATACAGTGAGAAAGCTGAACATGGTGAAGTTTTAAGGAGCTTTCTTGCCATAGTGCTAAGGTGAAGCAGAGATGGGGTTTGGATCTGGGTCATATTAACACATTTATTGTCCCCTCAAGTGGCAGGGGATGCGCAGGTTGTACATGCCCCAAGTGACAGATGGTGGTTGACAGATATTGAACAGCTTTCTGCCCCATAAAGTAAGCTTCTAGGGCTGTAAGATATTTAAGTAGTTGTCAAAAAGTCCAGGAAGTAGAGAGGGAAAGGAATCCCTTAGCTTGGAAGGCAGGGACTCGGGAGAGGGATAGAAGTTCACACAGGCAAAGGCTATGTTTAAGACTCAGAACCAACTAAGTAATTGTTAGGGTAATTGTTTCTCTAAGTGCAGCAGTGGGGCTATTGAAAGCTCTTTTACATTTCCATAATTGGAGTTCAGGATCTTATAGGTCAGCCCTGTCCCCTCTCAACCCTAGTATTCTGAGTCAGCCAAGCTAGCACACAAAGGCTCCCCCTGCAGAGGACTCAGCAGTCTTGTACTGGGCAGGACAGAGTGTGGGTGGCTGTGATCTTATTGGAAAGTGACCTGCTGTAGCTGCTGAAATGGAAAATGTATGTGCTTCTTGACTGGGTGGCTGCACTTTGGCGAATGTTGCTTACAGAAATAAGGACCAAGCGCAAACAGGTAGATTGTGCAGGTCTATTCAGTGCAGGATCGCTTACTGTGGTGAAAGCTAGCAAGGTTTGGAAAAGCTGTCCATTAAACTTTTCTATTGCCTCTGGCTTAGATCTATAGCCATTGATGCTCTATGGCTTAAAAGTATAGCCATTAACTAGGAGTAAGTGAGGTCTGTGTTCTATTACCAAGAAATAAAAGCATTTTTTGAAAACTATATATATATATATATATGTATATTCCTTTTTAAAATTTTAAACATTAATTGATTGATTTTTTTTTTGTGTGTGCCAGTACTGGAGCTTGAACTGAGGGCCTGGATGTTTTCCTTTAGCTTTTTCACTTAAGGCTGGTGCTCTACCACTTGAGCCACATCTCTACTTCCAGGTTTCTGCTCATTAATTGAGATAAGAGTCTCTCAGATTTGTCTCCCTGGGCTGGATTGGAACTAGGATCCTCAGATCTCAGCCTCTTGAGTAGCTAAGTTTACAGGTGTGAGCCACCAGCATCTGGGTTCTTTTTGCATTTGTTCCTTCCTGGTAAAATACAAGGAACTGAACTTTTGTGTATATATATATATATATATATATATATATATATACACACACACATTTGAACAGTATGAATGGTAGAAAGACATCCAATCTAATCTAGATAGTGAAGCAGTATTTCTCGATATTTTAAACTAAATATATATTGTTTAATTTTATGTTATATGCTCTTATAGAAAGATATTTATAGTTAATCATATATGATTTATATAAAATTTAACTTATGTTCATTAACTTAATCTGTATTAAGATGGTATTAAATTACATTTAAAATATATTTTAAATATTAAATTAAAATTACATGAGACACTTTAAGTTATATGTTCAATTTTCTCTATCAATATAGATTTATTTCTATAGTTAATAAATTATGTGTATGCTGTATATGTATATGCATACAGTATGTATGTACATAGAATGTATTATATATAAAATCACAGATATTACATTATGTATTATATATGTAACAGTCATCAAAAAAACATGCACTAAAACATCTGTAGCTGCCTGGTGTTGGTGGCTTATGCCTGTAATCCTAGCTAATCAGGAAGCTGAAGTCTGAAGAGTACAATTTGAAGTCACTGAGCAGGAAAGTCCATGAGATTTTTATCTCTAGTTAACCACTAAAAAGGTGGAAGTGGAACTGTGGCTTAAATGGTAGAATACAATCTATGAGCAGAAAAGATCAGGGACAGTGCCCAGGCCCTAAATTCAAGCCCCAAGCCCCATTTCCAACCCCCCCCCCCCCACAAGTCTCTGTAGCATATTCATAAGAGCTTCATATTTGTAAAAGTCTCATCTCAGTACCAATATATTGGATCAATAGTCTCTGGCATATTAATGCCACGGGATGCTATGCAGCAAAGAGAATGAGTACACAATACATACGTGAGTAGACCTTAAGACACTGTGATGGCTAAGAAGTTGATGCTGCAGAGTATACCACATGACTGCATGTGGACAGTACTCAAGACCAGGCAAATGAAACCTGCTTGTTTCCTGAGCACAGTGGCTGCTGGTTGCTTGTTATCTTTCATCTCACAAAAGTCCAGTCATTTGTGCTGTTTCCTGTACATAGTTTTGAAGGCAAACACCCATCCTTACCAGCAGAGGCCTACCTGACTCTTTCTTCCTTCCAACATCTAACTCTTTCTTCCTTCCTTCCCTCTTGTATCCCAGATATCACAGGAACAAGTGATGTGTGGGACAAGATGGAGAAGAACATTCTGGAAAACCTCCCCCAAGAAGTGCAGGAGGACTATGGTCAGGACTACATTCTCAGGCAGAGGAACTTCCTCAAGTTCATGCATATGAAGACCAGCCCAGACTTGACCCCCGTACTAGAGGCCGTCCAGCACGCCATCTCTGCTCAGAACCCTTCTCCCTTCTATGCTCCGGGGAAGCTGACTTACCTATGGGTCTGCTTTGCCTCCGTTTCCCCTACCATCTTATTGGATTATATTATACAAAAACTGTTTGGCCGAGGACAGGACATGCCCAGAGCTCTAAGCATGTCCAGCTAGGAAAACAAGGCCTGGAGGGAGGAAGACCTTGAAGGAGTGGGAAAAATTATAATCTTAAAGAGAAACTGGAAGCATCTCATTAAAATGATTTCTTACTTCCATTCATACTTTGGAAATTATTGGTTGGACATAGAGTTCAGAAGGCTGGAAGGAAGCAAGAAGCACCACAGAGGAAAAAAATAAAACTGAATACTTACTATGTATGCACCAGACGCATCTCAGATACAGGCATACCTCAGAAGAGTCATTGCTGGTTCTGACCACTATAGTGAAGTAAATAGCACATTCAAGCAAGCCATGGAAGTTTTCAATTTCTCAGAGCATATGAAAATTATGTTTAAGCCAGGCACTGGTGGCTCATACCTGTAATCCTAGCTACTCAGGAGGCTGAGATATGAGGATTGCAGTTCAAAGCCATGCAAGGCAGGAAAGTCCATGAAATTCTTACCTCCAATTTGCTACTAAAAATTAAAATAAATACATAAATACATAAATAAAAGCCAGAAATGGAGTTGTGGCTCAAATGATAATGTGCTAGCCTTGAACAAAAATGCTCAAGATCAGCACCCAGGCCCAGAGTTCAGGCCCCATGACTGACCAAAAAAAAAAAAAAGTTCAAGGTCAGCACCCAGGCCCTGAGCTTAACCCAAGGATCAACACAAAACAAATAACAACCAAAAAGCTATGTTTACCCCACACTATTAATTCTATTAATCATAAAATAGCATTATGTCTAAAATATAATAATTATATTATTTGCTGAATGTATGTGATATTTAATAATCATTATATAATATATAATATTATAATATATTAATTTTGAGACATAATGCTATATGTGAAATATTATATCTTAATGTATTTTATATCTTAATTAGAAATACTTTATTGCTAACAAAAAGCTAAGGACCACTTGAACGAACTTTTAGCATATCATATGTTTTTGGTATTGAAATGTTTTTTTTTCCCACAATTGATCATGGCTAACTGATGGGGCAGGGAGTACTCGAGCTTAGGTGTGGGCAGCAATTTCTTAAAGGAAGACAGCTGTCCTGACGCTTCCTTCCATGAACATTTTCTCTGCAGTGTGTGAGGTTGTCTGGTAGCATGTCTCTCACAGTGGAACTTCTTTCCAAACTTCACTGTGTCCTGTCAAGTGGTGTTGCTGCCTAATTGACCAAGCTTCTGTAAGATCCTTTGTTGTCATCTGAGAAGTACGCACAGAATCTTCACCAGGACTAGATTCTGTGTGAAGAAACTACTTCCTTCGCTCAACCAAAAGCCATGCTACCCACTAAAGTGTTGCCAGGCAGTTGCAGCCACTCGGTGACATCTTCAGGCTCCACTTTTTTTTTTTTTTTTCGGTTGTGGGGCTTGAACTCTGGGCTTGGGTGCTGTTCAGCTCAAGGCGAGGGCTCTACCGCTTGAGACACAGCACCACTTCTGGTTTTTGAGTGGTTTATTGGAGATAAGGGTCTCATGGACCTTCCTGCCTGGGCTGGCTTTGAACCGTGATCCTCAGATCTCAACCTATTGAGTAGCTAGGATTACAGGCATGAGCCAACAGCACCTGGCCTTTCAGGCTCCACTTCTAATTGTAGTTTTCTTCTTCTTCCTGCCACACCTGTAGTTACTTCCTCCAAGGAGGCCTTGAGCCCCCCAAGTTGTCCACATGGGTTGGGATGGACTTTTTCTAAACTCCTGTGAATCTCCTCCCATAATTACCAATGTTCTGAATGTGAATCATTTCTATGAGATTTTCTATCGGAAGAATCACTACCTCCTATAGATAGCTATGAAGTTGAAGAAAGGAGGCTGAGGCTAAGTGAACATCTTAGAGCCATTCTGGTACCTCTTGCTGGGTGGAGGGAATTGTCTATCCAGTGCTGAAAAGCCTAGAGGTGAGAGAGGCCATTCATCAAATGCAGATGCCTCGCTCAAGGTGAGCTAGGAGGGCTCTGCTTCAGAAATGCAGGTGGCATAACCTAGGAAAAACTTTGCATAAGAGACTGCTCTAAGTCTGCCTTGATTACCACCCTAAATGGCTTGAACCACCCGCCTCTGAATAGCTTCTATGATTTCTCTATGTGGAAGGTTGAGGCCTATCTTCCCTAGATGGAAATTTCTTTTCTGGTACCTAAGCTTGTACCTGAGTATGTTCATATAAGGTCTGGCACCTTGCCTTTTTAGTGGGGAAGGGAACCCCCCTTCCCGCCATCCTAGGTGATAGGTGTACCTGAATCCCTGGAGACAGGAGCGGGGACTTGGACCATAGGTTACTAAAACCTGTCAGTCCAGTGTTGGGACTGGGAGTTTCCCGTGACCCTGCCCCCTGTCCCGACCCTGTTTAGGTCTGGACCAGCTCAGATGCTATTACTCGATGCAATATGTCTCTGTGTTTGTTTGCTCTCTCCTGGCTCCGGGCTCCTTCTCCAGTCACCATGGAGTCCCACTTCAGCTCTTCTATGGAGCTGATTTGGTTTGTTGGTATTGTTTTTATTCTTTATTTCCTCTCTGGCCTTCACAGTTCAGTTTCCTAACAGTGTTAAGTATATTTGCTGGTTGCTGGTCTTTGAAACAGGAGCCTGACACGCAGTCACCAGTCTTTTAATAAAGACTCCAAGAGTCAACCTCTCAAAATATGACTTCTCCATTTTCTCGACATATAACAAAATGTATTTGTGTGTGTGTGTGTGTGTGTGTGCATGCGCGTGTGCACATGTGCACGTGCAAATGCACACAGGGTGGGGTGGGGGCGGCGGGGATCTTGGGACTTGAACTCAGGGCCTGGGTGTTAGTCTTTCCTTCTCCATCTTCTTACCCAGTCTGCCACCTTAGACCTTTGGCAAAAACAAAACTGCCTCCCCGGAAATCAGATGACACAGGCTTTTCCCAAAAAAAGGTGAGGCAGATAGCTGCAATCTCAAAAGGCAGCCTCTCCCCCAAATGCAATTTCCTTCTCCCTTGTTTGTTCAGCTACAACTGTAATTATTAACCCCTTCCACAATGCAGTGTCCTGCTCTCCTGTTCCAAGGAACCCAGACCTATAAAACTGTGTTTATATCCCTACCCAGCCGCCACTCTGCCCACCAGGTAGCCTGTCAGGTCACTGACATTAAAAACTCCTTTTCCTTTGTATGTGACCACATGTCCGAGTGATTTTTTTGAGGGAAGCCTTTCACTGGGCATTGTCCTTGAGGTTTTTCTTGCTCAGGACTAGAGCTATACTGCATGGGCCACAGCTCCATGCCCAGCTTATTGGGGAATAAGAATCTTGCTGACTTTCTTGCCCAGCTTGGCTTTGAACTGAGTTTTTTTTTTTCTTTCAGATTTCACCCTCCTGAGTAACTAGCATTAAAAGCGTGAGCCACCTGTGCTTGGCACAGTGCATTTCTGCTTTTGAGACCAAGTTTTTCAGGACGCTGTCCCGACTGGCCTCAGGATTCCCAGGCTCAAGTGACTCTCTTGTCTCAGAATCCCAAGTAGCTGGAACTGCAGCCATGTCCCACTGTGCTGGAGAGCACGCAGGCTGCTGGACACATGAGCTGTCCTAGAAGAGGGAGGAAGGTTGTCTGAAGACAGTGGAGAGCCACGAGTGGAGCTGCTCCCGCTCCGCAGCTTCCCTGAGGCTGGAGAGGCGCTAGCTCAGAGAGTCACAAGGCGGGGCAGCTCATACCTGCTCACTGGCAGGGAGGCTCCCACAGAATTTTAGGGTTTAATCGTAGGAAATATAAAGACAGGGCTGAACTGAGATGGAATAAAACAAAAAAAGCTAACAGGAGGATGAGGCAAATGATTTTTTTTCTCAGTTCCAGGAAAATCTAGCAGCCCTTGAGGAGGGAGGTAGGCTCTGAGAGGAGGGAAAAGAGAAGTGGAAGGATCTTGAATCAACTACTTACTTATTTGGAAAACCTTGCTTCTAACTGTGAGAGACCAGATAACTGAAGGTATGAACAAGGGCTCAATTATATTTCACTTTTGGAACGGCACATGGGGTTTCTCAGAATACAAAAAACATTACACATGAAAAAAATGACCTTGCCTTGATTGTGTCTGCTAGAGGCCAGTAAGTTCTGATGGGAGAGGGAAGCCTCTGGTATATCCACAGCTCACCACATCTGGAGGCTGGCATGCCACACTAGTGACTTGACAATTGGAATCCTGGCAAGGAGTGTTTCCCCTCTGCCTAGATTTGCCATCCTGCTCAAGAGCTGGGCTGGAGGCCAGGTTCCTTTTACACCTGGCTTACCCAGCATCAGAGTGAACCCCATCCGTTCCTCTTTAATCTCTTTTTGTATTTTACCAGTGCTGTTAGCAGGGGGAATGGGTGGTCCTCACTAGAGACACAGAAAGGAGGAAGAAATCTGGAAAAGCAATCAGTAATGTGTGATTTTTTTTTTTTTACTACCTGAAACCAGTTAAAAAATCTACAAATAACTCTATTTATGCTTCTGGAATAGTACATTAAATTTTATATTACTGGTGGTGAAGGCAGTGCATTCTTTAAGAACTGCCATTCTGGAATGGAAATCCCTTACCCAAAACTCTGGTAGGGTGGAGAGCAGACGGAGGGATTTTTATGTTTGTCGAGTGAGCTTTCTTCCTCTTTTGCTTGCCCTTCTTTCTGGGCTTTTGGTGAGACTCTCATTAAAGAGACTCCACTTTTCCATCACAGGGATGAGTATTGTATTGTGACTACACTGGCCAAGTAGCTGATAACTTTGGCGCCAGTGATTGGTTCAAGAAAGGACACAAAGTAGGCAAATCAAAGATTATTTTGGGCACAGTGGTTGTTACTGGCATTGGAAGAAAAAGGATATCATTTTCAGCTCCTGAGTTATAGTGCCCTATGTTAAATGGGAGCTTCTAAAACCCACTAACAAGAGAGTTGAGTTGAGGGGCTGGGAAGGTGGCTCAGTAGTAGAGAGCTTGCCTTGAGCTGAAGAGCTGAGGGACAGTGCCCAGGCCCAGAGTTCAGGCCCTATGACCAGATCCCCCTCCCATCCCCCCCCAAAAAAGAGAGTTGAGTTGAG